GTTTATTGGCACTGCCATATGAGTTTTTCAGACATAGCGGCGTAGAGGCAGCTCCTATTCATGCTGTCGAAGGCTGCTTTAAAATCGACAAAAAGGTGGTGTGTATTGATATTCTTTCCACGAGTCTTTTCCAAGACTTGGCGAATGATGAATATCTGATCGATGATGGATTTACCAGGTTAAAAGCCACGCAGATAAGGTCCCATCAACTTGTTGACGGTGTGCTTTAGTCTTTCACATAATATGTTCGATAGTACCATATATGCAATGTTGAGGAGGCTTATCCCACGGTAATTGGCGCAGACTGTGGGATTGCCTTTTTATGGATTGGGCAAAGTACACTTAGGTTCCAATTGCTATCTCCATATATTGTCAGTAAATACGTCTTGGTTCCCTAGTCAGCTCTCGGTATTGCAAGATTGCGTGGTAAGCAGTCTGTTTTCTCTCCACTACAGTTCGATAATTCTCATCGTAAATCGTATCAGTTCTTTTTCTGACGCTGTCGAATACCAATAATTTCCATAGCGGTGGTGCGTAGAGAGTTTGCGATGCTGTTTCACAGCTTATCGAGTTGCTGATGAGTGCTGTCAGAAAGCAGGTATGAAAGTCGAGTAGAAAGCCGGTCGGCTGTTTATTTTGATGACATCTTTTCGACGTCAAACCTTTCATGTGTTTCAGTAATATATTATTCGTCTCACGCTATTAAATAATCTTATCATGATCTTATATCAAATCTATGACTCAAAACTTCAAATCTGTAATATAGGACGTACAGATGCTATAGTGGTCCGATCCAGTCGGTTCCAACAAATTATTATTTAAATTATGTTAATATTTTCATACCAAAATTGTTTGAAATGTCTCAAAAACTTAGGGACTAGTTTGCAAATGTAAGTATTGGGGAGTAGAGGTAGCTTCTTTTCGTGGGATCGAAGGCTGCTTTGCCGATCGTTTTCTCACCCATTTATTTCAGGAGTTGCCGCATGGTGAATATCTCGCTAGAAGTGGATCTGCCAGGTCTAAATCCACGCTGATAAGGTGCAATAAGTTCATTGATGATGGGCTTTAATATATCGCACAATACTCTTGATAAGACCTTATGACCTAATTTGTGATATTGAGGGAGCTTTTCTCACGATTTCCCCTTCTCATAGATTGGGCAGAGTACTCTCAGGTTCTAATCGTCAAGCACGTTTTTTTTCGACACATATTTCGCAAAAAAGCTGATTCATACATCTTGTCGTTGTCGCCGTCATTTTTTTTAATAACTCAGCCGACAAGCTTGCGATTGCTCTTCGAAGGTGGACAAAGCGGTGTGATGGCAATACTGTCGGTATAGAATTCTGATTTCCGCTTGCTATCTCCTCGTGTATTTTCCCTGACGTTGTGCTCTTTGGAGAAGTGTACTCTACCAAAATTCCGTATAAAATAAGCATCAGCCATTAGGTCATTCTTTGGGTCCAACAAGAGTTTGCCCAGTATTGTAAGTCATCGCATCTTTTTCTAGAAATTTCTTGCATTACTCTTGTCGGCCTGCTTCTGAAGTTTTTGACACTCCACTCATTGCGCAGAATTTCCTATTCTTTCTTTCCGGGTGCAGTCAAGTAGCTGGATGAACTCATTTGTGCTGGAATTTTCTACTACAGACAATCATATTTTGGGCACTTGTCAAGTAGACAAGCCTCGGGGATGTTACGTCATGTTGCTTGCTTATATCGTCTTTTCACCGTCCATTTCACTTTTTGAATGGCGGTGATGTTAGCCTTTAGTCTTTTGAGCAGATCAACCAGCTGTACAGCGGTACTTTCCCATCATAATCCTTAATACATTTGCAGTAGTTTTCATCAAAAGTGGTGTCTCTCATCCGAGCCATTGTTGTTAACGTTTAACATGAAGCTGATTTCTAGGTTGTGGATCTCAAACTCAGCGCACAACCTCGCCAGGCAAGTAGATTCAAATTTAGCACATATTTATATAGAGTGATCGACGTCCCTTTGCAGCCGCACATCCATTGGAAACACGCTAAAATGAGACTTCAGCCAACAATTAGACCAAATATGTCGGAGTGGCTTTGCTGAAGTCTCCACTCGTTGAGCCGTGATCCAAAGCTTAACAAGGGTTATAGATTTACTACACCCTATTACACCCGCCTCGAATATTTTCATCAAATTAGTTTTAATCGCCTAATTATTAATTTCCATTAATGGTGTTCCCACATAGAGTGATTTTAATTATAATATTTACTAATTCTGTTTCGCTGATCAGGAGTTAATTTTTGACACAACTTTCTGATAGAGGAGGAACATATTTTTGTATTCAAAAAACAAATAATTTTTAATTAAAAGGGAATCGTGTTGCCAGTCTTCAAAGCTGCCAAGTACTCAAACATTTCCTCCTGAAGCTCACCTGTAATACCCATTTCGCCCATCTTAAGATTTCCAACATCAGAGATACCATGAAGTATGCTCATTTTACTTGCACGTCAAGTATGACGCTCCGTGGCGTGAAAGAGCAAGCGTGCGTGCTAGGCTATAAGCTGTCAGTGAAAAGTTCAACGAGATTTGGTCTGATGTAAATTTTCACATTTCACATTTCGAATTTGCTTTCTTTACCATTTGCTTCCAACTTTAGTTTCTGTTCGCGTGGGTATAGTACAATATACATATGAATGTATACATATAGTCACTATCATATGTACATATATATTTATTCACATGTGGCGGCAACATGTGTTGAATGTTGCAAACTGCTGCCGCACATTAAAATGCAGATGAAGCGCAAAAGTTTTTCGAAAATGCGAAATTTCAAATGAACTAGCATTGCATTATGCAACAGTTTGCTATGGTTTACCAATTTCACATTTGTATATATGTAAATACATATGGGTGTATTTGTAAGTTTATAAGGAAGTGAGAAAGAAGACACCGTGGAAAAATTAGAAAATTATTTATTTTTAAAATTTGCAAATGTATATACATACTTCCATTGGTAAGTTCTTGACTTGAGACCGTTTAGGGGGAAAAAGAAATCCGATTCTCTAAGGAATTTTATTCGGTGGAAAAAGTTCTATTTTCAACAAAACATTTTATATAAAAAAAATATTTAATTCAAACCGTTTTCTGTCTTAAAGATAAAAACTAGGAAAAAATTTCCCCAATTGCATAAAAAAATATTCCTAATTCTGCTATTATGACGTCAGTTCCGGTGACCCCTCGAAAAGGTGCACTGTTAAGCAATAACAATTCGTATTTGTTTTGTGGCACTTCTCGCTCGAAGAGTCAATTTTGTGAACACGATAGCGATCGTAGTTTTCATATGAAACATAAAAACGAATACTTTTTTTATAGCTTAGGAGTTGCTCTTCTATGTGAACCTAAGATATTCGAAGAAATGTATAAAATTATTTATTTTATGACTGTTTATAAAAAATTTTGCGTTTTTCTGAAGAAATTTTAAGATAATTTATTGATAAAAGTTAATAAAATTTTTTTTATTTTGATTTTTCAGGTTCACATAGAAGCCTACTCTGTTATCTGTAAAAAAAGGTATCACTTATGAAAATGCGACAATTACAACTTTTTTAAACGTGGGCACAAAACAGAAAAACACTGTTTTGAGAAAATCGCGATCAAATTTCTCGGTCCCGCTCATCAGTCTCCTGAGCGCATTGTCTCTCAGAGGCCATTTCTGCGGAACGATTAGGAATTCGACTCTGAAATTTTGTGGAGATATTTCTAATCGAATGAGATAAGTTTAAACAAATCGATTTTTTTGACCCTCTAGGTTCCCAGGTTCCCCCCTTTAATAATAAAGTTAAGAAATTAATAAAAAAAAAAATTGATTTTTGATTTTTGAAATACCAAGTGACCCCTTAATGAGTGCTTATCATTTAAATTGGATACTGAAATATTTTATGATTACTTTCGAATATTCTTAAAGCCCTTGGGTCCTAAGTATGACGTTCTTAATCCTCAATATAACTCGTCACTTCGGACATATGGAAGACCTATTTGCACTTGATTGAAATTTTCCAAAAGTGCCAAAATCCAATAACAAAAAACTCAAGAAAGTATTATATCCCTTCGTAGCGCATCCGCTTAGATTTTAGGGAAGTAAGGAAAGTAAGCTTTAAAAAAAAAACACTTAAAATTCAGAAAAATGCATGAAATCTTTATTTGAATCGATAGAACGGACCATTTAATTTAATATTTGAAGATTATTTCATGCAAATGTTTACCGTGACTGCGGCACAAATGGTCCATCCACTTAGGTTAAATTTTCTAAATGCGGTCGCCCCTCGGCAGAGAATGTCAACCCTGTGAGTGTATTTCTGAGAAGAAACATCAGCCGTTCGAAGTCGGCTTAGTATAAATTTTTTGGGAAAACATCAAGACGCAAAACCACAAATTTGAGAAGGAGCTCGACCGAAAATCACTTTAACGGTTACAAAGCTCCAATTATATATAATATATGTATAATGGATTCCCCCCGAATTGCGTTATTTTCCCTTCTGGACTTTCCTATAGCTAATCATTTATCTCTTTATCTATTACAGCTATTAATGAACTATAATCGTGAAGTATTTGAATATTCAATAAAGTAAATTTGCGTGCTCTAATTAAGTGAGTAATTTAATTGTTATTATTATCTGTTGTAGCAATTCTTGTTAAGATAATAAAATTTTGTAATAAATAAAACGGTACCCACTACAAATCCATAAAATTCAGATTCATTCGTCGTAAGCAATTTAATGATGGCACTTTATACAAACAAAACAGCGGATAAAGCAATTAATACGGAGCTTGGAAATAATTATTTAGGAATTGAAATTAAAAGTGAGCAATTAAATAGTGAAAATGAAAAAAGGGAAAAGGGTTTCGGAAGCAAAATTTGTTCATATTTTTCGAGGTGAATTACTTCTTCGCTTCTTTTTTGAAGTTTATCTGATACTAAATATACTTTTCGCAGAATTCTACGTTTTATTACTACAACAGTTGTGGTTCTATTTGCCTTGTATGTTGGAATGATGGTCTCAAGACATTACTTCAACAATTGGGTACAAACTGTTGTCGATCGAACAGATGTGCATGTGGGTGAAATATTCTTTCCAGCTGTCTCAGTGTGCCCTCTTATCGGCATTAACTGGACCAAATTACCCGAAGTCAAAACATATTTTTTGGGCAGCAACTTTACGACAGCGGAGGAGAAAACATTTCAAAAAATGCTCGGGCGACTGAGTTATTTACAACAATTCAACGATTTAGGTGCTGACGCTCGACGAAGTTCTTGGGAACCATCGTCTCAAACTCATGGTATATTATTTGATGTTGGAGTTGAAAATGTCTGGAACGCTGAAGATACGCATTACACTTTGAATGAAATACAAAAGTTGCTCGCATATAATTGTAGTTATTTGTTCGAGAAATGTTTTTGGCGGAACGTAGAGTTACCTTGTTGCGGTTTATTTCAAATAACAACTATTTATAACAGTTATTGCTTTTCATTCAATATGATAGGGGAAAAGGTAGAGAGCCGTGAATATATTTTTTAATATTATTTTCTTTTATTTTGTAACATTTTGTTTTATTTTGTTTCACTTTACTTTAGTTTGTATTGCTATATTTTATTTGACTTTATTTAGATTAATTTTCTTTTTCGTTTTATTTAATATAAAATTAAAATATTATTTAATATTAAATAAAATAATTTAAATATTTGATATGACATTATTTTATTTTAGTTTATTTTATTTGATTAATTTTTTATTCATCCTTTTTAAATTATTTTTTTTACTCAATTTTATTTATTTTATTGTGTATTATTTGATTTTATTTAGTTTAATAGTTTTAATTTTAATTATTTTAATTTAATTTATATTATTTTATTTAATATAACATTATTTAATTTCGGCTTATTTTATTTTATTAATTTTTTAATCATTCTTTTTAAATTTATTTATTTATTTTACTCTATTTTATTTATTTTATTGTGTATAATTTGATTTTATCTATTTTACAATATTTTATTTTATTTTGTTTTTTATTATTATAGTTTATTTCTTTATTTTATTTTAATTTATATTAATTCATTTTATTTTATTTTATTTCATTCAATTTCATTTGATTTTAATTTAATTTATTTTAGTTTATATTACTTTCTTTCATTTAAGTTTATTTTTATTTTTCTATTTTATTTTATTAATTTTATTTACTTTTATTTATTTATTTTAAATTTATTACCCTTTTAATTTTACTTTTTGCAAAATTTTATTTGATTTTATTTATTTTAATTTATTTAATTTAAATTTTTTTATTTATTTTATCGCAATTTTCATAATTTCATTCGATGGTTAGTTAATTTGTTTTTATTTTTCAACTTTATTTAATTTTAATTAATTTAATTTATTTAAATTTAAATTATTTTATTTTATATTACTTTATTTGTTTTTGCTGTTTAATTTTTTTATTTTATTTTATTAATTTTATCTATTTTTTTATTCTTTTTAAATTTATTTTTTACCCTGTTTTTTATTTTGTTGCTTATTTATTGATTTTATTAATATTTATTACATTGTAATTTTGTATTATTTTTTTTAAAATTCTTTCATTTTATTTTATTTTATTTAATATTACTGTTTCTTTTTAAATTTCATAATTTTTTAATTTTTTAATTGTGGGACGTGTTATATTATTTTATTTATTTTTATTATTTAATTTTAATATATGTTATTTTGTATTATATTATTAATTTTTTTTTCTTTTCATTTCATTTTTATCTCATTACATTTTACTTTTTTAATTTCATTTCGTTTTTATTTCAGTGTATTTTTATTTTATTTTATTTTATTTTATTTTATTTTCTTTCATTCAATTTCATTTGATTTTATTTATTTTAATTTAATTTATTTTATTTTATATTACTTTCATTTAAGTTTATTTTTATTTTTCTATTTTAATTTAATAATTTTATTTACTTTTATTTATTCTTTTTAAATTTATTACCCTTTTAATTTTACTATTTGCAATATTTTATTTGAATTTATTTATTTTAATTTTGTTTATTTATTTTATCGCATTTTGCTTAATTTTATTTGATGGTAAGTTAATTTGTTTTTATTTTTCAACTATATTTAATTTTATTTTATTTAATTTATTTAAATTTAAATTATTTTATTTTATATTATATTTTATTTACTTTACTTTACTTTGCTGTTTAATTTTTTTATTTTATTTTATTAATTTTATCCATTTTTTTATACTTTTTAAATTTATTTTTTTACTCTGTAATTGGTATTTTGTTGCATATTTTTTGATTTTATTTATTTATTTTAATTTATGTAATTTTACATTAGTTATTTAAATTTTTTCATTTTATTTAATTTTATTTAATGTTACTGTTTATTTTTAAATTTCATTTTAATTTTTTAATTATTGCATATTATTTTATTTATTTTTATTATTTTATTTTAATATATGTAATTTTGTATTATACTCGTATTATTAATTTTTTTTAATTTCATTTTATTTTTATTTCATTAAATTTTACTTTTTTAATTTCATTTCATTTTTATTCCAGTGTATTTTAAATGATTAATTTAATTTTATTTTATTTTTATATATTTTATTTTAATTTATTCTACTTTATTTTTATTTCATTTATTTAAATTTATCTTATTTTGTTTCATTAAATTAATTATTATCTATTATCTTTTCGTTTGAGTTGTTTTATTCCATTATATTTTATTTTATTCTATTTGAATTAATTTAATTTAATTTTTATTTATTTTTTTTTTTAGTTCAAATTAATTTAATTTTATATAGTGTTTTTTAATATGTTCAGTTTGCTTTAAAATATTTTTTATTCAATAGCAGTCAAATGAAACATCCCTGCGCACTTCCTTTGGTCCTGGACCAAATAATGGATTGCGCGTTCTTGTGAAACGTATTGATTTGGAAAAGTTCATGGTAAGTAAGAGACGACTGCTGCGGTATATTTTTATGGTGGTGGTGTATACGATATTTTCATTGCATTTTAAACTCCAAGCTGACTTGTTTAGCTACTTCACCGCACAGTTAGATTTAAATGAAAATTAGATCTAAGGTCAGCTTACAATAGAGTCGCCATTTCTCTCTTAACAGATAGCTGTGCATGAACCCAGCATGGAACCGGATTCACAATCTTTGTTTCTGGAAGGCAAGCGAACTATAATCACTGTGAATCCAGTACGTTTTAAATCCGATCCAGAGATAGCCACTGTTGCACCAATATTACGGCGCTGCTACTTTACTGTGAGCTCAAAATCCAATTAATATCTTTTATCTTTTGCTGTTATTGTTTTTTTTTGTTTTCTTTTGTAAAAGGATGAAATGGAAAAAATGGGTGTAACAGAAAGCGCTTGTAAACGTATCTGCCGCTTGAACTATTTGCTCGCAAAGTGCAATTGTACTTTACCATCAAATAATCAAAACAACGGAAGTCACACTGATAACTCGAGTACATTGAAAGAAACAAGTGAATTTTGTGCAATAAAAAATAAAACCTGCCTAAGTGATTTGGAAAACTATGGTAGTGCGAATGAGAGTAGTAGTAATCAGTATGAGGAGATGCTCTATGCTAGTGGCTTGAATTGTTCTTGTTACCATAATTGTGATTACATAGAATATGCACCGACAGTTTATTTAGAAAGTTTTGAGTAAGGAGCTGTTGATTAGTTGAGCTCTTTATCTAACCTTATTTCTTTGAATTTCTAGCGATAATCACGAGGACAGCCACATTGAACTTCAAGTCTATTATCAACATTCCACTTTCTTTTCATATCGTTCTTCACTGACGGTCACTTGGGTGGACCTGCTTGGTGAGTTTGTTTGCATATGAAAAATTGTAGCATATTCAGAGTTGATTCTTCTCTTTCACAGTTTCTTATGGCGGCATAGCGGCACTCTTTCTGGGCATTTCTGCAATGAGTGTGATTAATTGGTTCAAACGCTCATATAATACTTGGCAGCGTAGAGTTGTTCGTTTATTTATTTGTATAAAAAATAAAATTATATAAAATTCATTTTATTTTCCAATGAAATTGTGTAATAAAATGTTTGGCAAATAATATAAGAGTGCACATTTCTTTCAGTGTAGCAACTCTGTTGGCTTATATAATATTTTGTATTTATTTTGGTAATGGTTACGATAGTATAAAAGTTCACAATATTATCCAAATATCAACATTTAATTACACATTGTTAATACTATTATCTTAATTGGCAAAAATTGCATAAATTATCTTTTATCAGTTAAATATTTCATGAGAATTATTCTAGTGTCAATATATATAACAAATGTATAATACATATATGTGTGTACGTATAAAGGGTGATTTTTTTAGTTGTTATCTTTTTTGCAACACTGGTTTAAACAGCTGACGCTCGTTTCGTGTTTTGTATCACTGTCAAACATCTTCAGTTTGGCCTATAATTTAACCAAGAATAGTCCTACAAACGAAGAAAAGTTCAAAAAAAATAATTTGTGTTCGGCGACGAAGAAGATCAATCAAAAGCATTGCAAGAGCTATTAATGCATCCAGAAAAAGTCACAGTTTGGTGCGGTTGATGGGCTGGTGGCGTCGTTGGACCGTACTTCTTCAAAGATGATGCGAATCGTAACGTACCGTGAGATGTTATCAAACTTTTTTTTGCTCGAAATGCAAGAGTTTGAATTGCATGACATGTAGTTTCAACAGGACGGTGCCACATACGACACAGCACGCATAACAATGGACTTATTGAGAGGCGAGTGCGGTGAACATTATTTTCACGTTCGGTACTGGTCAATTGGCCGAATAGATCGTGCGATTTAACACCGTTAGAGTATTTTTTGTGGGGCTGTGATAAATCTAATGTCTATACAGGCAAACTCACTTCAATTGACGCACTGGAGGACAACATTGGAGCATCTATTAGTGAGATACTAGCCGAAATATTGGAAAGAGTTTGCCAAAGTTGTACTAATGGGATGGACCATTTGTGGCGCAGACACAATCACATTTGCCTGAATTAATCTTCAAACATTAAATTGTATGGACCGTACCATCGATTCAAATAAAGCTTTCATGAATTTTTCAGAATTTTATATTTTTTTTTTGAAACTTTCCTATAGCTCTTAAAAAATCACCTTTTGTATGATTACATGGGTAATAAATTTTTTTGCCTTTTTATACATACATATATATACCTACGGAGTTTAGTCTGCCAGATAGATGGAAAATGGGTAAGAACGTTTCTCACAGACTGCTCTTAAGGGCCAAATCCATGTCAGTCCTTGCTTGAAGACTTTTTATGCCGAATCACTGCTCTTCAACCACGACTTTGGTTAAATGGGTACTATATTTGTTTGCCAACAGGAGCACTTTAATTTTTTTTTTGATTTCTTAGCCCGATAAAACCCCCGTTGGCAAGATTGATTCTGTATTACTATAATAATGTGACTTGAGGGGGGTGACCCTTTGTTTGACAAGAAAGTATTTCGTCTTATTCTTGTTCGATACCAAGCCAAGAAACTTTCTTTTCCTTTGCAGTGTGATAAATGTTGGTACGTTAACATTCCAGCAGAGATTTCTACCTTTCTAAGTTAGCAGCTCATATTACATCTTAAGGTTAGAGAAATCCCAGGTAGGTAGTTTGATGTCTTAAATGTATTGTATGATGAAACTGCATAATCAATCCTTGCTGCCATTCATTGCATATGGTCCTCCATTAGTTTGAAGCATTCAATCTCACCCTCGTCCGTCTACCGATAGTCTTGGAATTTTAATATTCGATTTCGTATATGATGGTATCTATCGGTCGCTAGACGTAAGACTTTTTTGGCAATTTCCTCAAGTAGTACGTTTCGTACAAACTCTTTGTGGCCTAGAACTCGGTAGCTATGTAGCTGCTTCCTTGCCTCCCTGCTTCTTGGGAAATTTTGTGAGACTTTTCACTTTAATTGCTGCCTGGCTAACGACGTGTATAAAAAGTTATGTTATTCATGAGATTAAATGATGTGGTAACTAGACCAACAGCTTTTCTTACTATAAAGTGAAAAGAAATTGCGAAGACTGCCGGTAGAATACTGCAGTAATCTAGGATATTCATTTTGAAACTATTGTAATAGTGTATGATAAGTTCCGCGTCAGCCAACTTCTTTTAATGTAGCTTATGATTTTCTATCTCAAATAAAGCATGGTTTATTTTGTTAATCACTTCCTTATTTATACTAACACGAAATTCACGGGATTTTTTTGCAATGCCTTCCAATGAAATGACCATTGGTGATAGATTTGGTGGTAAAGTAGCTGTGGGAATAGCTCTTAGCGCTTACATTATGTACAATAGTACACAGTGAGAAATTGGTTTTCTGTATAAGATTTAGATTAAGATTGGCTGGACCACCGCTGTGTAAGAGCAATATATGAGGTTAGGTGATAGTTTCCACAAAGCACCGGCTATCTTCTCAAAAGCATAAAGGAAGCAACCCGTCCTCCAAAAGTTATCGACCAGCTTCAATGTGAAGTTTGCTCCTCTTGCTTACCAATTTGGCGTAAGGGAGTTGTTCGGAAATGGTCTCCCTTCCTCATTTACCTTCATCGGCTTTAAGTTTATCTACTTTGCAAGCGGCATTAATTAGTAGGTAATTAAAAAGTATACACCTTATGATGACCAAAGACCAAACTCGAATGATGAAAAGATCTGATAAGTCCGCGCTAGAAGTTTTCGAACGAAAAGTATGAATTGCGGAACAATTTTTTTGGTAACACTGAAAATTTCAGACAATGGAGCGAACAGATGCACGAGTTATACAGCGACATTGTCATAGTTTGTCGTATAAAAGGTCAGCGGCTACGCTGGCTAGGCCGAGTCGACCGAATGCGCGACAGTACTCCACCTTTGAAAGTTTTCGTCGCAGTGTCCATTTCTGGAAGCGGAGGTAGAAGAAGACTTCAGCTCCGTTGAAGATATATACTTACTTCTTTTCCAACTTCTTTATTGGCGTTAAAAGAGGACTTACAATATGCTTAAATGAACTAGTATTTAACTAGTATTTAGCTGATGCATATTTGTATAATTGTACTTTCAGTTTTCAAATTACCATTACCAGCTGAGATAATGCTGAAAGATAAATCGGTGAGTGCAAAAATACAAACCAGAAGCATTCTATTTAGTTCACAACTACAATGAAATCTTGCTGTAAAATAAGCTGTATTTACGGTAAATGAGTAGCTTTATCAACGCATGTTCCTAGATTATTTTAATAAATATAAAATTTAAAGTTCACAGCATTCCTTAAAGAGAAGGAAAAATAATTTATTTGTATGTCCAAAACAGTGCACAATTTCCAAATTGTTTCTTTAACCGAAAATCTTCTTTTAACTTAAGTTTCCACCGCAGATAAGCCAACCGTACAAATGGGCAAAGAAAGCAAAAGTTTCTTTTTCAACTTAAACCGAAATATTTTTCTGTTATTCTACATAGTTGTATAGGATTTTCTACTGTTATCTTCATTAATTTGTATTGTTGGCTTTGTTGTTGCTGTTCTTGGTATTAGTTTTGCTCTTGTTAAAAATCTTATTCACAATAATGACTCTACTAACGGTCTCTTATGCTTGAATTGTGGTCAACCATTGCAAATTATTTTGATTGCATAAAATTCAAAGAAGCAAATAAGCAAATTCGCAAACAGCACAAACACATATTTGTGCATATGTACACGTACATATGCTGATACGCATATTCATTTATGTACATACAGCCTGGGCCAAAAGTATTAGGCACCCTACTAATTACTGAATTTTTTGTTTTAACAAGTGAAGTAAAGAAGTTTTATTAGTAAAACAGTGAAAATGGAATGAATTGGTGATAATAACATTAACATTTAGTAGGTCCAACCTTCGATTTAATAACGGCAGCAATTCTCTTCGGCATGCTGCATACAAGCTTTGTACATTCGTCCGCACTTATAGCGTACCACTCGTTAATTAAGGCATTCCTTAAGGCAGTTTTTGATGTTATATTGTTTTCCTTAATTTTGCGTTTTAGAATAGCCCACATGTGCTCAATGGGATTAAGATCTGGAGACTGTGCAGGATAATCTAACAAAACAGTCTTGTTATCTCTAAACCAACGCATCGTAGTCGCTGTTTTTTGAAAAGGAGCATTGTCTTGCTGAAATTGAACTTAGAAGTCTTCTTCTAGCTGTTCGAGCACTAACTGGTTTAGTAAATTCATCCGAAAGGGCAGATGAAGAATTTTGTGCTATCCTGCGTGCCTCGCGGATAAGTATTCGGTCTTCTCGTTTACTGGTTAGATGCTTTCTTCCAATTTTTGATTTATTATTGTGGGATAGTACATTGGACCGCGCACCGGAACAACCCACCAAATTGGCAAAATCAACCAGAGACTTACCTTCTTCACTTAGAACTTGAATTCTAACTCTATCATCGTAAATAATTTCACTTTTTTATGCATTTCGGTAAATATGAACTGTTTCTATAAGATTGGCAACTTTTCACTAAATTTAATTTACACTTTCAATTTCAAATTTTAAATGCGAAAATATTTTATGAATTTCTTAAAAATGAGAAATTTTAGGTTTAGCTTACCCAGAGTGCTATGACTTTTAAATTACAAGATTTATTGGTTTAATCAACACTTAAACACCCCTGTATGACGTTAACAAAAAGAAATGGTAACTTTGATAGCCTAATACTTTTGGCCAACCCTGTACATTCGCATATAGAAAATACATTTACTTGTAGGGTGTGCACATTCACGATGGCCAAGCAGCGCTTACTGGCTGCTCAGATGGATGTACATATCATGCAGGTAGGAAAAGGTAGGATAGTGTGCAAACATTCTAGTCAAATACTTGTATTTTGAAGACTAAATTATACTAGTCTGGTTGTAAACCAGAATTTAAAGGGCAAAAGTATATTAGTACGCCATTGACTAATATTAAACTAATATTTTTAAATAAATTCTAAATCAGTCGGAAAAAATTCCTGTATTTGCCGACAAATCAATACAGGACATCGGTAAGTAGAAAGTAGAAAAAACAGTAATTTAACTGGTATATATGCACTGGTATTTAACTAGTATTAAGCTGATGCTTTAACTGACAATTGACATTTCGATATCCTATGCTGTCAGGGTTAAAAATACCAGTTGCTTACATTGAAAATAGATGGAAGGTGAGCTATTTGGTGTAAAAATGTCAGCTAGTTGGATTCTAGTTAACAACTGGTATTTTCCCCTGCAGGGTATAAGCTCACTGTATGTATGTGTGATGGTTATACGTATTTTTGTGTATTTTATATATTTTCTCTGTTCTCATAGATATTTATCTGTTTATTGCAATATTTGCATTACCTCCGGCACTTGGCTTCCATTGAAGCCAACGGTCGGTGCACCTTGTTGAATAATAAATATTGTGTTTGTGGATAACAGTTACTTTTGATAAATACTGCACAATCTTGCTTGCATATATCTGTACGTATATAACTATATAGTACGAGTGAATTAACAAAAGTTCGGTCAGTTGTTGACTTTTAATTTGTTTTTGTAAAATTTAAAAATACCAAATCCTTTGCAATCACTTTATTAGTCTTCCTATAAAATTTCAGAACGATCGACTATAATGGAGACAAAATAACTCTAGATAGCTGAGTGTAGGTCAGACGAAAGTCCACCACCAACGCAAATTAAAATTCGTAATGTGATTCTCTTCCGGGTTCAGCGTAATTTACAGCCAATACAAATATTCAGTGAATACCAAATTTGCATATGGACCGATTACACCGTTTCTAGAGGCTATTCTCAAGTGGTACCGGAAATTATTTCACAGATGATGAGCGCCGAGAAGGTCGAAAAATTCTTCTACTGATGACGTCACTATGGCTCTGGTGAAGTCCAAAATAGACGAAATCCCACGATTGACACAGTGATTGCTAATGAATTGGACTTGAATGCCATGGATGCATCGCGAATATTAAATAATCAACTGGGATACACGAAGAAATCTGCTCGATGGGTACCAAGAATTTTCGATGAGGCCCAAAAGGAGGCTCGATTGTACTTTGCTCAATTTTTCCTAAACAAATTCGAATATGATCAGGATTGTAACTTTAGTAAAGTCGCTACTGGTGACGAATCTTGGTTCTATAAGTACGATCTAGAAACCAAACAGTATCCATAATGTGGAGCCCAACCAACCCGTAAAATCTAAGTAACAAAAATCAGCAGCAAAAGTAATGATGTCAGTTTACACATAAGAAAGGGAGTACTAGTCTTAAAGGACACAATCCAGCAACATGTACAACAATCGCTGGTCAGGACGGCGTACCGACAAGCACTGAACGCCATTCACCAGGAGTCAGTCAACACCTTCAAACCAACTCATCTAACTCCCCTCTCCCTTTGGTCCAACCCCGTTGAAACAGCTCGTTTCCTGGACCTAACATTAGATGACCTCGGCGAATTAGACTGATCAAACCTGTGCCTAAGCGGGGTTAGCGAACCGCTACAAGAACAACAACAACTTGGCAGTTTAATTCAACCGACTTAAAATCCTATCTGCTATTCCACTGGAAATAGTCAGACGGTAATGGCAAAACGGTACACCGAAGAGTGCTTAGCAACGGTTTTCAAAAATTAGTAGGAAAACAGGAAGAAAGAGGATTTGTGGTGCAGCTTTTTATATCATGACAACGCGCCATCCCACAATGCTGAAATAACGAGTAATTTTATTGCGACCTGTGGGATCGAAGAAATACGTTCAGCACCACATTCCCCAGATATAGGAAAAGGTCTTTAATAGCAACGAGAAGGTAATATAAGCTTAAAAAGCAAGATTTTGAAGACTGTTTTCAGAAGATTATGTAGAGCAGATAAAAAAGGACAAGGCTAAAGTATAAATACAAAAATAATCTCTTTTCTGGTCAACTTACCGAACTTTTGTTAGATCCCTCGTATATATTCTACCTTGTTCAAAGTTGTTTTAAAATATTTAGATTTGATTTGCTTGCAATTTAAAGAAATAAATACTTGGTTTCAAACATATTTATGTAAAAATATAGATATTCATTTGTATCTACATATGTTTTGTGCGAGTGTGTTCGAAAATAACGAGAAATTGCATTTCTTTGTACAAAACATTGAACTTTATTTTAGCTTCAAAATACGAGAGAGCATTTTTAGATTCGCGGAATGGGAGTGTCGTTGGGGTATTATGGTCATTGGGATCGTAGCGTGTTCAGTGACTCATAATTAATATAAACATAAAGATCTTCCGGTCCAATATCTTTCGCCATCTTTCGAACAAGAGATTGATTGCTCGTTCATAAAATATTTGGTCCTCGCTGACAAAGTATTGAACCCAGTTTGACATCCTGATTTGAGATGAAGGTTCTCCTATTGTATACGCTGCGTTGGAAGAAAACGTTATCCAGATCAATACCATTCAATTAGATGCATCTCTCGATAACGCAATCCATTCACGGTAAATTTTGTTCATATACAAAAAAGTAAGGTCCAAGGTACACTGCCGGACCATAACCCTCACCAAACAGTTACCCGTTGGGAATCAACAATAAATCGTGTGCTTTCCGCACCACAGATTCGACAGTTTTGCTTATTAGCATAGTCATCGAGGTGGAAATAGGCTTCATATTTATTCAAATAACATAATGTTTAACTGAATGGATTGGAGTATATTGATATGGATAACATTTGGTTCCAAACCAAATTATGCTACAGCCACAGCAGCCAACGAAACAAACAATTTGTTGAAGGAAACTTTTGCCAAGTACATTATCTCGCGCCGTGAGCCAGTGACGTGGCTTCTAAGATCGTGCGATTTAACACCGCTGGACTAATTGCTTGTCTAGGCAGGTAATACCGAGACGATTAACTTCTTGAAAAAGAATATTCAGCGCGTTATTGCCACCGTTATATTATATAATAAAGCAATCGAAATTAGCGTCTTTAGGCTGGAATGCATTTGAGTCAGCCGCGGCGGTCATTTGCACGAAATCTTGCTTAACACATAATGACAAACCCTTGTCTCTTAATAAAGCTAAATTTTGGCTGTAACATTGTATCAGGTGTACAACTTTGCTTCCGCCGTTTTTTTTCCAAAATTAAAAGCTTTATTGCGAAAAATTGCTTACAGATATATTATTCAAAGTATTGTTCTTCGCTAGCGACGACTTTCTCCCATCTTGCCGGGAATTTTCGGATCCCGGCTCGAAAAAAGGAGTCCTCTTTTGACGCTATCCATGAAGCAATCCATTTTTCCAATTCTTCGAAGGATTGGCGGGTGGGGCAAGACTTCCCATTTCAGCGTTTCCAGGTACTTTTTGACCACTTTTGCGACTTGAGGCCGAGCATTGTCGTGTTGGAGGATGACTTTGTCATGTCGCTCTTGATATCGTGGCCGCTTTTCTTTTAGCGCGCGACTAAGGCGCATCAGTTACGTTCGGTAGCAATCTCCTATGTTGGTTTCACCCGGTTTTAAGGGCTCGAAGTAAATCACACCGAGCTGATCCCACCAAATACAAATCATAACCTTGTTGGTCTTCGACATCGAAATCGCCATTTTTAAAACGTTGAAACCACTCCCGACTCGTTCTTTCACCAGAGCAGCATCACCGTAAGTTTCTGAGAGCATTCGATGCGCTTCAGCTGCATTATTTTTTTCGAATTCTAACAGAAAAGGAAAACCGCAAATGGCGAGAATTAGGCACATAAACGGACATTTACGAGCGTGAATAATACGAAAACAAGAACAACTGTCACTGAAACGGTGATGACAATTCGTTAGGCACTGTCTACACTCACTTTAAAGGCATTGTCATCTATGTATTTCAACCAGCCTCAGCCGTTACAGCCACATATCGGAAAACGGCGGAGGCAAAGTTGTACACCTTTTCTTCTTTTAAAAAAATACATTATAATACAAACGCAAAATTTTAAAATTTTCGTTATTTTTTGAACACACCTCGCACGTACATAAATATTTAAAATTTGCATACATCTCATTTGATACCAATATTGTTTGAGCTAAAATGTTTTGTAAGCATATATCTGTTGGTAAAATCGGATTTTAGAATGTAATTTTCTTTTATTAATTTTTTTTACAGCTCAAAACTGATTTAAATGTAAATAATTTTTTTCAATTAAATTCCCTCGTTTATTGAGGGGAGTTAAATCTCAATGCGCGCAGCATTCAACGTTTAAAATGTATCTCTGGGGTGCGTTTGTTATTTCCCAAAAATCGTTTACGTCTCCTCGGCAAATTTCTATGATTTAAACTCACAACTTTCGCTGTGCTTCGATAAGAGGAATCGAAAACATTTGAAATAAACCCTTTTTCACGCAAATAAATATAAAGTCCAATGGTGAAATAATAGAGCAGCTCAACGCCACTAATCAACGAAGCGCCCAAGAAGAGACCGATGACGCCGCCAAAGTTAGCTGTAGGAAAAAGAAAGAGTAGAAGAACGCAACTTAGTGGATTATTAGAAAAAAGGAGAAAAATAAATACACTGCCAACTTTAAATCCAAACGGAAGCAATATTGAAAAAGTTGATGTATGAATTTCAAAAAACAAAAAAGAAGAAAAATCAAATAAAAGTGTTTGGAAAACTTTGAAAAATCAATAAAAGTGGCAAATTGAAAGTGTCAGAGACAAGTAAAATAAAATGATTTGGAAGTGAAAGTAGAAAAAAATAACAAAAACAAATAAAAGCTAAAAAATAGGGAAAGCAAAGTCATAAGTTGGCAAAAAGCTAATCGCCTAAAACCATGCGGCAAAATGTTGAACAGAAAAAAGTGATTTTTTATATTCCATTTTTTTCACCAACTCACCCAGCAGCTCAACAAAACTGTAGCGTAGTTGAGTGCTATAGCGCATCATGTACGAAGAGGTGTAGTGTACGTCCAGGTGCACATACTGCATGCCGTCTGTGATATTGAAACTGTAGGTGAAATGTATTGGAAAGCATAGAAAAAGAGAAATGAAACATAAGAAGTAAATAAAAGAAAATACAGCAGATACTTTTTTAAATGAAATTAAATTAATAATATTTCAGTTTTAGAAAGTTCGGAGTGAAAGTCGTATTCCTGTGGAAAATAAAGATTTAATACGAATAATGATATTATTGAAGCAGCTGGAAAGTAGAACCCGAGTTCTTGTTAAACAAGGTATACCCCAACACCCGATTCTGCTGAGTTATCAATTGTACAACTTTGTTTCCGCCGTTTTCAGATAGGTGGCTGTACCGGCTGAGACTGATTGAAATACATAGATTATAATGCCTTTAAAGTGAGTGTGGACAGTGCCTAAAGAATTGTCATCGCCGTTTCAGTGACAGTTGTTCTTGTTTTCGTATTACTCACGCTCGAAAATATCCGTTTATGTGCCTAATTTTTGCCATTTGCGGGAAGTTTTACCTTTCTGTTACAATTCGAAAAAAAAAAATGCAGCTGAAGCGCGTCGAATGCTCTCATCGACAATGCTCGGCCTCACGTCGCAAAAGTGGTCAAAAAGTACCTGGAAACGCTGAAATGGGAAGTCTTGCCCCACCCGCCGTATTCCCCAGATGTCGCCCCTTCTGAATTCCACCTATTCCGTTCGATGGAACACGGCCTGACAGATCAACATTTTCAATCCTTCGAAGAATTGGAAAAAGAGGACTCCTGTTTTCGAGCCAGGATCAAAAAATTGCCGGAAAGATGGGAGAAAGTTGTCGCTAGCGAAGGACAATACTTTGAATAATATATCTGTAAGCACTTTTTCGCAATAAAGCTTTTAATTTTGGAAAAAAAACGGCGGAAGCAAAGTTGTACACCTGATAAGAATTTGCAATCACTCAGCAGCGGGAGCTGATGGCCCGAGCGACGGATTGTGATGTACATATATGGGGCTGTATAAAGCGCAAAGTTTCCTTTTTAAATATTTTAGAACCAAATTTTTCTCCGTTGAAAATTAATTTTATTGACATAAAGGGTTTTCAAATAAGAGTAGTATGATTTCTTAAAAAAAAAAAAAAAAACACTCATTAGTTGTTACGGAATTTTAAAAGTTTTTTGGCTAATGTGAAGTACAATCGATACAATCAAGTTCTGAATATAAGATCATTCAAATGGTCTTCAAGACTTCTTTTGTAGGAATATATTCGATGAACCCAATTTTAGAGCGCTTTTTCCACTCAATCTACTTATGAATATCACGTTCATTATGGACTTTAAAAGCTTAAATCATACCCTCGGTTTATTGCTAAAGACCAATGACTTCAAATAACTCCACAAGAAGTAGTATAATGGTGTTGAATCACAACTTCTTTGAGGTCATTCAATGTCATAATTTCTTGAAATAATCAAATCTCCAAACCTTTCTCGCAATAATTCGGTTGTTGCACGTGCTGTATGACACTTAGCTCCGTCTTGTTGGAACCAGATGTTGTTATGATCAACTTCTTCCAATTGTGGCCATAAAAAGTTGACCATCAACGTTCTATACCGAGGCTACCAGCTTCATTTCGAAAGCAGGGACCGTTGATTCCACAAGACCAAAAACCATAGCAAACTGTCAATTTAGGAGAAAAATTTTCTTAAAAAATTCGTTACAGTTTTCAAGTTGTTGTTGTTGTTGTTGTTGTTTGTAAACGTTCTTTCATATATCTTGCAAACATTACTGAATTCAATGAAAAAAAAAACATCGCTATTGGAAAGCCCGTTACATGAGAACATTTTGCCGTTTTTCCGGGTGGCCTCATTATTCCATCAGCGCAGCATTTTTGTGGTTTATTGGCGAAGAATTCAACATTTTGAATTTTTTACCATAAGGAAAATTTTGTAGTCTTCGAAGTAAATAGTAATTAGCTGGTGTAAAGTCTAGGGTATATGGTATAGAGGTAGTATCTGGTAACTTGGTTTGGAATAATCAAAAAATTTTAGAACAAAATTCGAAATATTGAATGAATGGAGTACGCACTGAGCCGCAAGATTGTTGAAACTTTAAGCACGTTTTTATCGAAACAACGTTCATTACATGGTCTACAAAGTCTGCTCTATCTAACTCATCATTCGCCCTTGCAGGAACCAGTACCTTTATTTTTCTTTACCGCTTACTTCCCATTTTACAGCCTGATTGCTGATTAAAAAAATGTCCCTTTTTTCCGACTTTTCCGGCTTTTTCTTGGTTCCGACCAGAATGACAAGCTCACAGTATAATTATCTTTTTGATTTTTCCATTTGAAATGTCTTTAAGCGATCGAATCGCCTTGGCCCGCCACCTGCCTTTTTTTAGACATTCTCTTCAGAGCTAGGAAACAACAAATTTCGTAAAAAAGGACAAAAGTTATTATTTTTTGTATGCTGTGAGATAGTGTTCGACAGCAAACGCGGTTTCTGACAAGGTGATTCCTTAATTAGTTGCTGGAGAAAATAATTAGAGCGCCAGAGCTGAATACAGAATATACAATTTTATAAAAAATTGTGCAGCTGCTGGCATATGCCGACGATATTGACTTTAATGGACCAATAACCGCGCCGTGAGTACTGCTTTCTTCAGACTGAGACTGATGAAGAAGCGAGGTGAATGGGTCTGGTAGTGAACGAGGACAAGACGAAATATCTCCTATTGAAAAGTAAAGTCCCCTCTCCACGACTCTATAAGTCGCTGATCGTTCTTGTTCGACAATATGGTACGGAGGCATGGACGATGACAACATCTGATAAGTTGGCCAGGAGTTTTCGAGGGAAAGGTTTTGCCCAAGTTGGCAATAATTGCGTTAGCGATAATTTTCACTCCATCAAAAATCAATTCAACTTACTCATCCAATGGCACACTAATGTAATTGGAAACAAATATCAGTTGATTGCAACTACTCAAACAATTGCATATCATGGTGCTATTCGGCACGTTCTCAATATATTCACGTTCCGATACGTGAATGTCGTTTTTGAAAAATTCTGCAAAAAAATGGGGAAAAAAGTCAATAAAGAAGAACTTATGTACAGCCTTGACCAAAAGTATTAGGCACCCTACTAAAATACAAGTATTCTCAAGTGTGGCTATCAAAGTTACCCCTTCTTTATTAAATGTCTTTCATGGGTGTTTAACTGTTGATTAAACGAATAAATTTTGTAATATTAAAAGTCAAAGCACTCTGGGCAAGCTAAACCTAAAAATTGTCGTTTTTAAGAAATTCTTAACATATTTTCGCATTTAAAATTTGAAATTGAAAGTGTAAATTAAATTTAGTGAAAAGTTACCAATCTTATAGAAACAGTTCATATTTACCAAAATGCCTAAAAAAGTGAAATTATTTACGATGATAGAGTTGGAATTCAAGTTCTAAGTGAAGAAGGTAAGTCTCAGGTTGAGATTGCCAATTCGGTGGGATGTTCGCGGTGCGCGGTCCAATGTGCGATCAGGCGATTTGTGGTGACAAAATCCCACAATAACAAATCAAAAAGTGGAAAAAAGCGTCTAACCAGTAAACGAGAAGACCGAATACTTATAAGCGAGACTCGCAAGGATCGCAAAGAACCTTATTCTGCCCTTGCAGCTGCCCTTTCGGATGAATTTAGTAAACCAGTTAGTGCTCGAACAGCTAGAAGATGACTTCTGGAAGCAGGTTTAGAAGAATGTTAGCTCTCAGAAAATAATAGGAAAAATCGTTTGGAATGGGCTCACGGAAGAAGATTGGTCGAATGTTCTGTGGTCTGATGACTCAAACTTCGAAGTAAGCTTAGTTAAGATCGTCTTAAAGTATTAACAGCCACAGCTTCTTATCCCAGAATAATTTTGAAGACATAATAGAAATCTTTAGAAAGTATTGGTTTTTCTACAGTTAATTGGAACACCCGGTGTGAAGTTCGTGAGGCGACTGGTTGGAGAAGAATATCATCCAGATTGCGTGGTACCCACTGTTAAGCATGGAGGAGGCAGCATTACGACCTGGAGCTACATGGCTATTGAAGGTGTCGGGGAAATGTTCGTTTGCGAGGGTCAAATGGGCAGTCAAAATACAGAAATGCATTAGAAGCTGTTCTTCTGCTTTAGTGAACGCGCATTTTCGGCAAAACTAATTTAGACGGAGTTCATTTTCAGCAAAACAAGGCTCCTTGCCACAAATCAGTGACTACGATGCGTTGGTTTAGGGGTAACAAGATTGTTTTGTTAGATTGGCCGGCACAGTCTCCAACTCTTAATCCCATTGAGGACATGTGGGCTTTTCTAAAACGCAAGATTAAGGCACACAGTATAACATCAAAAACTGCCTTGAGGAACGCCTTAATTAACGAGTGGTACGCTATAAGTGCGGAAGAATGTGCAAAGCTTGTATGCAGCATGCCGAAGAGAATTGCTACCGCTATTAAATCGAAGGGTGGACCTACTAAATATTAATGTTATTATCACTAATTCATTGCATATTCACTGTTTTACTAATAAAACTTCATTACTTCACTTGTTAAAGCAATTCAGTAATTAGTGGGGTGCCTAATACTTTTGGCCCAGGCTATATGTAAATACACCAAATACAAATTGAACGAAATCATGTAATTGAAGAAGAAGTTAAACAAAGCGCACAACACCAACACATGCACCCTGTAGGGAAGCATACTAGTTCTGCGTTTTTAATGACTTTCTATATAAACAACTGGTACTTTGCACATTACGATGTTCTACGAACTGTCAATTTTCCTATTTTGCTTTAGCTTTATATATTGGATGACTGCATAAGTTCGTGTCCGATTTCAAGTGCAAACTAAAATTGAAATTTTTTGAAGATAGTGCTTTTATTAATCAATTATGTATTCGCCATCATGTTCGGCAATCCACTCCCAACGTTCAACCAATTTACGGATGCCTGATTCAAAGAAATCTCGCGGTTTCTCGTTGAAAAAGGTGTCAAGGTGGTTTTTGACGTCTTCCACATTTTTAAAATTTTTTCCATTCAAATTGTTCTGCAGCGATCGAAACAAATGATAATCAGAAGGTGCAATGTCGGGTGAATATGGGGGATGCCGCATGATTTCCCAATTCATCTCCTTCAGTTTGGCCAGGGTAGGTTTTGCAACATGTGGCCTGGCGTTGTCATGATGAAAAAGAACTCCTCTGCGATTGGCCAAAATCGGAGGTTTTTCATCAGTTGCTTTCTCCAATTCGACCAATTGCTGACAATACTTGTTAGCAGTGATCGTTTCTCCAACTGGCAAGAGCTCAAAAAAGATCACGCCTCGGATATTCCACCAAATGCACAGCAGTACCTTCATCGGATGCAATCCACCTTTCGACATCGGTTCCGTCCCTTCGTGTGCCTGTTTCTATGTTCTTTTGCGTTGAACATTGTTGTACAGGAGGTTCATTTTTGATCCGTCGAAGCAAAGAAATTGCTGTTGACATACGGTCCACTTTGTTTTTTTCACTCAACTGATGTGGCACCCATGTGTCGAGCTTCAAAGTTTATCCAAACTTTTTTAAACGACGAACCGCAGTTGATTTTTTGAAGTTCAATTCACTGGCAACGTCTTCCGTCGAAATACGTGAGTCATTCGTAACTAAAGTCCTTAGAACATCGTCATCAAGCTCAGAAGGCCGTCCACTGCGAGGTTGATCTTCGAGGTTGAAATCTCCAGAACGAAATTACACGAACCATTTCTTTACTGTGAGGAGTGCTGGAGCACGGTCCAATTAAACTTCGCGAATATCTTTAGTGGCAGCGCCTACTGTTTTTCCTTTGCGGAATTCGTATAACATAATATGACGCATATGATCTTTTTCGGTGTTCATCTTCCAAGCGACTTTTCAGTAAGCAACTCAAATCAAAATGAAGTTATTTTATGCTTGATTTACAGTTCGGACTTTCACCTTTCCAACGATATATAATATGTATATATTTGTTTCACGAGCGCCACTCTCAAACGATTTGAACGGCATCCAGCGGAATCGGGCACGAACTTATGCACTCATTCATTAAAAACTAGATTCGCACTCTGAAACTGCAGTGTTAAACTCCAATCACTAGGCTATCGTTATGATGTAGAGAGTAATTAAATTTCTCCACCTTAACAGAGCGTAACTGAGAATGGAGCTTAGTAGTGGCGTTATTGGTGAACTGAGAGACAAATATGCAACTGTTATGAATTAATCTTCAAAATATCGGTATTTAACAAGAATTTTCGCATACTAATCTACCTTTTCCCTGCAGGGCATGCATGGAAAGGTCTTAAAGTATGTAGAGACATTAACGCTCTCAAATTACCTCTGTGCTCATATAAGCACATGAAATCCTTCGCTGTACATGACGTTATGTTGTCTATAAGAAGGAAAGTGATAGTCAAAAAGAGAAGAGAGTAAAAATAGTAGAAATACAAAATAAACTGCATTAAACAGAAGACTTTCTCGTGCATTTAGAGTCAGTGAGTTGCACATATTGCATGACACAACACATTTGCATTTTGTATTCAATGTTTATAATTTGTATGGTTTATTGTTGTACTTTGTGTCCGCTTCAACAGAACTCACCGCTTTCATGTTGTGGATGGACTAGACGCAAGTTGCATTTACAATACTTGAAAATATATTCCTGATGACAACGTGTAAAGCAATTGCTAAGTCGATATTCCAAGTCGGGTATTTTCTTGTAAAGCGGATGATCGGTTTCATCCTACAAAGCAGTTCCATAGAGAATCATATGTACAATATACAAACATATTCGTAACAGATTTAATATGCACATAAATTAATTATTCAACTGAATATCTCTAACTACATATTCAGCGTGTATTTGGAATAGGAAAGTTCTTAATTCTTGGTACTTACTTCAAAGAGACATCTGCGCTCTTCTGGCTGAACAGCACGAGTCCTCTCGTCAGTGGATGTGAACTGGGCTACAATTGGCAATTTTGTATATGTATTAGGGTTTATCAAGCGTGTTCTACCATGCCATTGTTCTGGCTGCTTGACCATAACCTACAAATTATAATCGAAAATTAGTTAAAGAAGAGAGAGAACTCTTTTTTCGCCATAAAACTTGAAATGAAAACAAAAATAGTAAAAATTTCCTTCAAAATATTAATGAGAGTATCTATGGTGCTTACACTCTTATTTAAAAGTAAAGTTAAAAGTTTAAAAGTTAAGAAAAATTCCGTGAGAAATTTATTTGAAACTGAGTGAACACTGATGTGAGTTGTTCTCGCTCATGCTGCAGTCTTTATGTCCTTCGTGAGCCATAGATGGCGTTATTTATCTGTATCTCGTGTTGTATAAGACCGATCGGGCCTCGTTAGATGGCGTTAGAAAGATGACATTTCGTACTAAAAAAACTTTTCTGACAGTTTTGTGATTGGTTGATTCAGTTTTGTTAGAGCGTGCGTCAAAGATGGATAAAAGTAAATAGAAAATTCGCTATATTTTACAGTATTTCTTCGATAACCGCGAAAAGCAATCCAGGCACCTTAAAATGTGATTAGCGTTTATGGCCCCGATACTGTAATAGTCAATCTGTACAATTTCGTTTTCACTCCTGTTATTTTGATGTAAGAGATGCTTCACAGAGTGGAAGGCCATTTGTCGAAAATGTCGATAAAATCATGGACATTATACAGTCCGACCGTCACATGAGCACTGTTTCAATTGCCTAAGAGCTAAAGACTGCACAAGAAACCGTTTGGAACCATTTGAAAAAAGGCTTGATATGAAAAGGAAAAAATTAGGGTACTCAATTGCATGCAAGAATAATGGATTTCTTTTTACTACACATTATATAAAGTTTTCCGATTCCGATGATTTTCGGTGGCAATGTTTATTTAGTAATATCAAAGTTCATACTCTTAGATGTTTTTCTGATGTAGTTTTGACTAAAGAAACTTATTTGCACGAATCAGTGGATGGAAATTATATCTTCCTAGTCGGCCAATTTCGTTGTGACTCTTTTCGCCTTATCGCGGGAAAATTCTTCAATCTTTGCCACACCGCAGGGCTCTTTCTCTTCTCCTTCTGTTACTCACGTACTTTGAACCAAAGTCTTGATACCATTTAGTATACATGAAAGGTATAAGAAGGTAATTGCGTTCAAAAAATGTACGAAATATTTGTGTGATTTACATTGAAAATGCTGTACGTGGTCGCTGGATCCAGGCGCGATTTGCTAATTTTCTATCAAAAATGCACCTCCCTCTGATCAGTCAGTTACTTAAAAACCATTTCTAAACGAAACAGAAAAAAAAAATACTCTGATTAAAGGCCAGTAATCCTTCACAAACGATTTCAATGCCTGAGTTGACGTCAAACCAGGTGGTGCTGATTGTGTGTAAGTTTGGAAAAAATTTTTGCATTACGAGTTGTGAAAACCAAGGGAAGCGGTCAACTCGGGAAACTACTGTCAAACATATTTCAAAAAAGAGTCCAGAATTAATAATAGAGAAGAACTATTGCTTCATTGTGAAAAAGCCATACCATATACATGTTGGAGATGATGGCTGGGCTGACCTTGGTCCATCGGACTACGTTTTTTTTTGGTCCCTGCCAGTCACAGGAATTCTACACACTCTGATGGAATTATGAAGCTACCCGAAGAATGGCAATATATTGTAGGTAATCATGATCAACAAAAGAATAATTTTATATTAAAATATAAAAAAGGAAACTTTTTTTGAATGAAAGTATAAACGTACCGATTTAGAATGGCGTTCATCTTCAGCTGAGTACCAGATGATGATGAATCAGACCTTGAGGTGATTATGGGTGGCAAATGCTGCCAAAGGGCACTAATTCTTGGTTAATATGAAGACACATGAACACATCGCGTTGTCGGATTAACAGAAAAAAGACAGACACTCAAAATTTAAACACTGAATTGGGAGGACATTTCTCTCTAGCTCATAGCCTGTAGGGGTGGCATGCAAGAAAGACAGAGAATGTTTTTAGTTGAGATATAAAAATTATGAAAAAGATGATCACAAAAGACTCATGTAGTAATAATGTGTTCAAAAAGATATTCTTCCGATCGATATTTAAAGTGTACTGAGTTCATGGATGGAAAACTTGTGTAACCATCAAAATTGCAGCAAAGGTAAAACATATGGAGTTGGCGAATTCGAAAAATAATTATGTTCGGCCAAATTCACAGGAAGAGGGGCCCCGCAATCTGCACCATATATCATGCGATCTGCTTCCTTAATACCGCATATAAGATTTTATGGAGCGTATTGCGCGAGAGACTAAAACCCACGATTCTTGCAAGACCCGTGAAAAAAGATATATACCTTCTTGCCTCTTCGCCACTTTGCTTGAATTTGGTATTTTGTCAAAACTTATATGGCTGTCCCAGCTGAGTATGAGCATTATAAAAAATCGTTTTGATTTCAGACAAGGTAATCTTTATCATCACAAGTCGCTCAGCAAACCAGTCTTACTATATGGATGTACAAAGCATACGACGACATTAACAGGGTTCTTCGAACTTAAAAGAAGCCACTACACTGACTAGTGGCACATGTGGAGAAGAACGTTGTGTCATGTGATGTCTCGAATTTGTCGATGAACGGTGATGAGAGGCAATGAATTGTGCGCTATTGTTTAATCGGATATAATTGCGTAGGCGGGCTCAGTGTTAATCAAGGAGGAAAAAGAAATAAGAAGATGAATCAGAAGAAGAAAAAGTAGAAAAAGAAGTAGAAGAAGAAGAAGAAGAAGATTATCTCTTTGAAACCGCTATAAACGCTTTGAACTGCAAGGCAAGGCACGACTAGAAGACCCTTCAACCCGTAATTTAAGAGTGACCTGTCCACCTCAAGATATTGTAGTATATATATATATATACATAATTGGTGCTTTGTAACCGCTGCAGCGCTTTTTCGGTCGAGGCTGCTCCTCCAATTTATGGTTTCGTGTCTTGATGTTTTTTACAGCAAATGGAGGGACCTTCAGTTTATACTAAGCCGCCTCCGAACGGCTGATGGTTTTTTTACGACGAGCCTTTATTTCATATTCGAAACACACTCGGAGGGGTGGACATTCCCTGCCGAGGGGCGACCGCATTTAAAAAACTTGACTTAATTTTTATTTAAATTAATTTTCCAGCAGTTCCTAGCATTTGGATGTTGTTGGCACCGGAATTTGAACCCGAGCCTTCGGAATGACAGTGCGTAATGCTAACCACTTGGCAACCGCGGCCGCCGATAGTATCAGTAAATTAATTTCGGGATAGAAAAAGTTCAGGTGGCGTGTATTCATGAAAAAGAAAGAAACCTACTACGTGACAGGGCAACCTCCGGCAGGACCAGATCAGAAAAATCGGGAAAAGCCGGAAACTGCTCATAGATTACGCTTCAGGAGCTGTATAAATTATGGGGAGGGCGAAATGACCCTTCGACTGCCTTGCAGGAGCCTTGTTATTTCGGTATTACTTCTATTGATGTTTTACCCAAGACTAGACATTGAGACCAGTGACGTAATGAGGTTAAGATCAGGAGTTGGGTGAACAGCGCAGCGAAGTGGATTTTATTCTGGGAAGTCACTCCAACCCTGTCCAACCTAAAAGTAATAACAAGTTAATATTACTCACATAAACTCCATTTCTGCTTCGGCGATATGGTGCCACCTTGCTTTCATCAAGTCTTACAACGATATCCAGACCAGTTAATTCCGCCGTTTTTGAGTTGTGATATGGATAAAAATGATCATTGCGCTATTTAAGAATATGTAAGAATAATAGGCTGATAAGTTCAGCTGCCATCCAAATGGTCAAACATTACAACAAAGCTTTACCTGTTTCTCTTGATTCTCTTTGGTGAGTAACGAATTGAATACCAAACAATATCCATATTCTGTGCGTTCCATTGAAAAGAGATCACAACAATTGTAGGCGATTTGCCGCCAACGACACGGCTGCACGAACAACTCATCACATGTGAAGCTCACATGCTGCATGACGTCCTTTATCTCCACATCATCCAACAGTGACAGATTCAAATGCAAATCGTTTATCCAACGTAAACCGAAGAATTGACCAAAGCTAAAATCATTCAAAATGGAAAAAAAATTTTGAAATGTTTGCACAGCCTCCTCGCTGGCATTTGGCGAAAGGAATCGTTCGTGTGATTCCATGAGTTTTGGCCAATTGATGCGATTGCGTGGGCATATGCCAATTGCCGGGAACGGTTTGGTGAAGATGGGCGACAATGAGTCTTCGACAATGGTGTGTACGCGCTGCGAGGAATACAAGTCAGCCAAATCACTATAAACGTAAAGGCAACCGCAGGTGGTGCCTATGAGCAGCAGTAGCCAAATGATGCTGGTATAAGAAAGGAGAGGCGTACAAATATACATACATAAATAAAGCAATATAGGTTTATGTACCTACATATATGTGTTATTAGAGGAAATGTTCAACTCACCGTTCAAAGTATTGACTTTTCGGGTCAGTCAGATAGCGAAAGCCATGCACAGAGGCAATTTGACAGTAGTCCTTGCAATAAGGCAAAAACATCTGACGCAGTGTCGGCTTCTTGAACGGTGTCTTTGGCGTAGTACCATTGAAGAGGAGCAATTGATTGCGTGGTATGGCTGCTGGATACTTGAGTTCATGTAGATATGCGTAAGTCATGACCGCAATCGAGTCGAAGCCGCAGTATGCAGGTTGAGTGTTTTAGTAAATCTGTTGAGCGGTTTAATGAAGTTTGTGGTTTAAATAGTGCGCAGCGAGTAGAAATGATGGAGGTTGTGCTAAATAAGCTGGAGAAAGTACAAAGGAAAATATTTGCTCGCAGTAAATATGAGGATTAATTATTGGTGACCTACAGAATCTTCAAGGTGTCTTTCAATAAAATTTAGGCACTTAAATCGTTGTTCACTCGTTAATAAATATTTATACACTTTATGTACATTAATCACTTCATCGTCTAGCGGCAGTGGTGTTTATTTAAGATTTTGGGTTATTTACTTTTTGTCCTTCGGTGCGGCAACACTGATTTGGCCGAAGGATAAGGCGAAAGTAAATGGTAAGTAAAATATGAGTCCGGCTTGATAAATACGGCAGTTCAGGTGAGTGAGTGAAAGTGCTGAGACGTTTTGAATGGTACAAAAAAACTGACTCAGCTGACTCAGCTGAAACATTTAAGATGTCCTCCTGGAAAGGCAGGGGTAGAGGGAGAGAGAGAGGGAGAAAGAGAGAGAGAGAGAGAGAGAAAGAGAGAGAGAGAAAAAGAGAGAGAGCGAGAGAGAGAGAAAGAGAGAGAGAGGGAGAGAGAGAGAGGAAAGAGAGAGAGAGAGAGAGAGAGAGAGAGAGAGACAATTTTATGGCTGAACAACATTCTCAAACAAATTTCATATTTTTCTTCTATAACTTCCAGCGAATGCTAGTAATTCCTTCTTACATTTGGACTCCTTCAGAGTCGACTAAAAGTACGCTTGTTCAATCGTCATCGAGGGGACCATCGTGTTCGCTATATCCTACTATTTCATTTTCATGGCCTTACAACTAGCTGGAGTCACTGCACCATCTACTTAGGTTCCCACGTGAGTGCGCTGCACATTTAGAATCTTCTGCGTGAGGCTAACGACTTTTTTACTGCACGGTTTGGTTGAAATTTAAGCACTTCTCTATTGACTATATATTTGCGCATGAAGCTAGTGCCAGAGGTTTCACCAGCATACAATTAGTATTAACTTCTCAGTTCGTCATGCTAGCCGAGTAGTCGTGGCAGCCGAGTGTTTAACAGGTGTGAGATTCAGGGTACGAATCTCACTGTTAAAATATTTTTTATTATCTTTTCTGCTAGGTAAAAATTTCACACCGCAATGAACTGGTATTTAACCAGTATTAAACTGAGGCAAAGTAGAACAACTTCTCTTTCTTAGGATACTCTTCGATCGTTGCTAATATTATGTAAAATAGGTGAATTAATATATAAATGAAAACTAGTAACACAAAGCAGGTACTAGGAAAGTTTCTTATTAAAATATTCGTTCATAGTAAAATTGCAGTTTTAATTATTATTTTTTATTTATTATTGCATTTATCGAGCGACCCTCTTAGTCTCGTACACCAACAAAAGGCTGTTTAAATATTTTGACAGTGATAAATGAAAGAATGAAATTATATAAACCGTTGAAGTAAACCGTTTATCGATTATAAAGTGAAGCAGCAGTAGCCTAAAGCGGACTCCACACTTTCTCAGTCCATTAGCAATACCTGCTTGGCACGCCCACCGTTATCGCTTTATAATTAAGAGAAGCAATTAAAAGTGTCTTCCGAGTATTTCATATACATAGCTTTATTATGGCTTCTACATTGTTTTTTATTTCATTTTTAGGCCTTTATCTGGTGTTTGGGTTTTCCCATTAATGAATCTTTCTCATTATTTACACCAACTTATGTCAACAAGCGGAATGCTCTGGAAGCTTTTATACTCGTATATACATGCAAACAATATATATATATATATATATATATGCACATACAATCCTCTTGTCTGTGAAGTTGGTTTATGTAATGAACTTTTAAAGCATATTTACAGATTTATACGTTGTAAGGCACAATATTTTATATTAAGGGAAATAAAATAAGAATTCATAACAATGGAAAAGAAAATTATGAGACAAATATTTTGGTGGAAATAATAAAATTATAAAAAATAATATAAAAAAATAATTTTAAGGAAAAAATTACTTAACCTTTCCATTAAAATATAAAAGTAGGTAAATATATATGTATATTTTTTCACAATAGAAGAAATTTCTATATTGATTGCATACACGTCCGAGTATATATTGTATAAGATTTTCCTAAAACTCTTGCGAAAAAAAAACTAGCCAACATCTCCCAATCATAGACCCGCAACGCCTTGTGTGAGATGGCGAGACACCGAGCGGGTAATTTAACAAAGAGTCTATTGAACATATCAGAGGCTCAGCCACGGTTCGCAGAAAAGCCAAGAGTCAACTGTGAACGAACTTTGGCTTTGGACTAGCCGCCACGAGTAAACCTTATTGGTCTTCCATCAGCAGTGTCAAGTGCGTGCCACGCAGTAGTGAGATACAAATGTAAATAACGTTGTGCTTATATACATTCATTAGGAAGGCCAAAAGTGTTAGCAATTAGCTGTATATATTAGGGTTGTTATTAAATTTTTGAGCCTTTTAGAAAATATGAGCTCAGTGGATCTTTGAATAGCTCAGCTGAGAGGGGTTCTGCTGAGTTTGGTTAAAGATTCAACTCTCTTTAAGAAAAATTAATAAAATCGCTTTCATTATTATGGTTGGTAAATATATATAGCGGCTGAAGCTGAGAGTATAAAGGAAGACCGCGGAAAGTAGATGCGGCGGCATTCGCTGCAATTCGGACTGATTTATGAAACGACGCTGCGCATTTTATGTCAAGATCCTAATTTGAAATCATACAAAATATAGCTTGTGAAAGAACTGAAGCCGCTCGTTCTTCTCAAGCGAGATCGCTTCGCTCTATGAGTTTTTGAAAAACTTCCAGGAAGGTCAGATGTTTTCGAGCCAAATTTTGTTCAACCATGAGGTCTATTTCTGGTTCAATGGATACGTAGACATGCAAAATTTCCGCATTTGGGACACAGAGCAAGCTGGAGAGATTTCATAAAAAAACTATGGTTTGGTGTGGTTGAAGGGCCTGTAGAGTCAATGGACCATATTTCGTCAAAAATGATGCCGGTGAAAAGTCAATGGTGACCGTTATCGCACAATGATAGCCAAGTATTTGATGCTTGGAATTGAAGCTCGTAATCTCGGCGATATTTGGTTTTAACAAGGCGGCACCATATACCAGACATCGCATCAATAAATGGATTTCTTGAGAGAATACTTCAGTTAGCAGCTAATTTTATGTTTTGGGTATGCGGATTGGTCACCAAGATCGTGTGTTTCCACACTATTGGACTATCTCCTGTAGGGATATGTAAAGTCTAAAGTCTATGCGAGCGACCCCGCTTCAATTCAGGCCTTAGAGCAAAACATCAGGCCTTAGAGCAACATCGGATAGGTAGTCTGCATCGAGAAAAAATATTTGATGTTTGAGCTACGTCTTATTTGAGTTTTGTCATCTTCCATGAAATCCTCGATTTGCCAAATATTAAGCGCGAGGTTTTGCGGCTTGCGAAATATTGATAATTTACTGCCAAGCTTGGTCCAAGAAGTGAAGCCTCATGGTCTGTCACACGTATTCATAGAAAATCCATTTTATACTCAACGAGTGACTTTTTGGTCGACATATCGATCGGCGGCTTCATTGGTACTTTTTTTTCGAAAACCCCCTATGCCGAAACCTAACTTAACGTTTCTAATTTCGGAGTTTAGGACAAAAAAAAGGTTTAACTTGAAATCAATTTTAATAGTGAATCTGAAGGCCCTCTCCGATCCGATCGATACTACACGAAGTTCGGTATATATTCAGTCGATCTTTTCTCAAATTTGTAATTTTGCGTCTTTATGTTTTTTCAACAAATGGAAGGACCTACAGTTTTTACTGAGCCGCTTCCTCAAGGCTAATGGTTTTTATCAGGAGCTTTCATTTCACGTCAGAAATATATTCAGAGGGGTTGGCATTCCCTGCCGAGTGCGATCGCATTTAGAATATCTCACTAAATTTTTTATTTAAATTAATTGCCTACAAACTTTTGGATATTAGAACCAGGATTCGATCTTTGAACTTCAGTATAGCTGTACAAAATGCTAACCATTCGCCTACTGCAGCTGCCAATATGTTTTTGCAGTTTTATTTGTTCTGATTTCTCTTCCATTGGTCTAACAAACTTTTTTGTATTCTTTAAATATTTTACAAACAGACACTTTGAGTGCCGCTTAAATATTTAAATATATACGAGTGTATTGTATCTATATAAATAATTTTAATAAATCATAAATCGCTTGTAGGCCGTCAAAGCAAAAATTATAATGTTGTTAAAAATAAATATTTCATTTCGAATATAAAAGCGATTTATTCAATTTATTTGCCAGCGCTGACAGTGGAAATATGCACACCACCATCATCATTATAATATTCATTTGGTGCATGCGAACACTGTAACGCTGATGGGCTGTTTAATGGGCGTTATTCGCACAGAGCAAAAACAGGTGTATATATTATATGTATGTATATGTGTTGGTGTGTGGTGTGTACCTACTATTCATGTGTGTGGCAATGGCAGAGTAGTAAATCATGTTAACACGCTAGTCACTGACATTTGTAAATTATCTCAACGCCTTGGTGCACCGCCCACCTGTCACCTCTTGAGCGCCAACGCCGTGAGATAAGTGAAAGTGATGCTAGTGGGAGTGTGTGTGTGTGCTAGTGCACATACATATATTCTATGCATGGCTGCCTAAATGTATCTCTAAATGGTAATTTGAGCCAATTTAATAGCTATCGACACAATTTATTTACTTGCATAAATTTCTGCGAATATTCAACATAAATAAATTGCTATAAAAGAACGTGAGAACATAAGTTGATCCGTACAAATATAAATATATAAAAATTGATGGGCATATAAATATAAGCATCTGTTTGGTTTGTACTAATTTGCATTTTCACTTTAAACATTTGTTATT